TCACACCAGCGCAGAGCGCGGGCTGTTCTCTCCTCCCGGCTCTGGTCCTGCTGCTTCCTCTGCCTGAAAAGAGACTCCCCCGGTCTCAGCTCTGTAACTGTCCACATTCCTAGTCATCTTTCAACATCCAGCACAAATGTCAGCTTCTCTGCGAAGTTCTCGCCTGTCCCTCCAGGCTGTCTTGATGTGCTCCCCACACACGTTTATTTATGTCTGTATTATCGCATTTATCACAAGCTGACATATTCCAGTTACTGGTGCCCCTGTCGGTCCCTCACTGGGACCGCAAGCTCTTCTAAGGCTGGAACTGCGTCTGCTTTCTATATACCCGATGCTGCGTCCAATGACAGAAACACAGGCGGCATCCGAAAGACATGGGTTGACTGGGGGAGGATCTCAAGGTCATTTGACAGTGGCTTCTGTGACAGGACCTTGGGAAACAAGCGCCTGTCTATCAGCAGGTGTTCCTCAGCCAACAAGACCCACAGAGCAGCGGCTAATCAATGACCAAGTCCGGGCGCCTGTGCCCCAAGTTAAGTATTAATGGAAAAGATGATGAGGATCCTAGAGAGAGGCACGGGACATCTAGCTGGCCACCTGCTCTGGAAACTTCCATTTGGTTTCTACAATTGCACAGTGAATTGCCTCTGTTTACTTCCACACTCAGAACTCTTATCTGGATTTCTACACCTTCCAGGACTGTTTGACTAAAAGAAACAAAGAGCAGCTGTCACAAAATATAAAGACTGAGGGAGGAGGTCTTTCCAGCAAATACCTCCACCTGAAGCGTCAGTGCCAGGGCCGTCTGGGTTTAGCTGAAGAACAGGCACTCAATCCAGCCTTTGATTCCTCAGCACCTCGCCCACCTCCAGGAGGGAGGCAGCCAGAAGTCTCTACCTCTCAGATGTGCACAGAAGTCATACCAGCGGCATCATGAATAAAGTACTGACATTCGTCCCCCAGACACCATGCACATCATGGCTGCACGTCCACCCAGCACTCGAGTGTGTGAATGACCTGAAAACAGGACACAGTGTCGGGGTCAAGCATGGGGGTGGGGTGGGGGAGGAGGCTCCGAGAGCTTGGGAAGTAGGTGCAACGGCACAGCAACCTCTGAGCATGTTTTTGTAAAGTGATGCCTTTCCTGGGCATGGGGAGAAGCCTGCAAAAGGCTCACTCCCTCAGCGGCAGAACCTGGGCAAGCTGGGAGGCTGCCACAGAAGCAGGGCTCATGCTCAGGGAGGGAGGCAGGCACACGCCTGAGGGCTCTAAGGCGTCTAGGATTATTCCTTGAACCTCTAGGAAGAGAAGAGAAGGCAGAGTAGGCTAGCTCTTCGGGAGCCTCTCCGGTCCACCCCTGTGAGAAGGTCGTGTGCACGCACGCGGAGGATGGAGGCTGCCCCGCGGTGTCCAGACACACAGCAGTCTTCCCCTTCTCTCGATGTAGAAACCAGAGTTTTAGACAATGGGAACTGTCACATTCTAAAAAGGACACTTGGCATATTCCAGCCTATTCGCTATAGAAAACTCAGCACAGCCTGATGTGTTTCAGAGTTGTCCAGACACGGAGTTGCACTGGAAGTTATCCTGGAACTAGAAAAATTAAGGCAGCAACTGCAGGAGAAGATTTGTCCTGCTAACACACATGTTGGTTGTGTTAAGTCTGTTTTCTCTTCCGGATTCCAGCTGCCTGGTTACTGTCCCTAAATCTCTTCTTGGATTTTGCATACTCCTTAGCATACACCCAGCAGTGATGCCACTGCCTCCTTCTCCTCCTCGCTACGTTTCTGTTTGATGAGATCAGCATGGTGCCAGCGAGAACAACAAAGGTGGGTTTTGAGATGCTACCAGCCAGAAGAAAAATGGAGGTTCTTGGAGGATGCCAAATTGAACAGATGAATGCCCAGAGACAGAGGGCAGGACACTTACTTTTAAAGGTGTCAAACAACAAAATGAGATGAAGGGAGTTATCAGAAGACCCAGGTAGGAATTTGACTACATCCTTCCTCACACAGAACACATGCAACTCAATATTGGTAATTAGATAAAGTCTATCCTGCAGTTTCCCCCAAGTGGTACCACCTTTATTTTTCCCTTCCTCATGGCACCCAATATACTGAGAAGCAGGGAACACAGTCCTTAAGATTTTGGGCTCTGAGTTAGAGAAACCTGGGCAGTGAGGTAGTGATGGAGCTTATTAAGGACATGTTATTGGGCAAGTAATTTTATCTATAAAATGGAGATAAGTAACAGTACTCACACCACAAAGGGATGTGGTGAGAAATGTATCTGGAACAGGAGTGTAATATCCAGCACATGCTAAATGCTCAGCAAACATTAGCCATTACTACTAATATGTTCCCCATGTAAACGGCGGCTCAGGCTTGGGGAAGGGCACGAACTCAGGACTAGGAGTTCAGATGCAAATTTGCTGCTCATTCACTTGGGAATGTTACTTAATCCCTCTGCTGCCTTATTTCTCTCACCTGTAAAATGGGATAATACCCATGTCAACCTGATAGGATTCTCCAGAGAAATTAAAGGAGCTGATGATCATAAAGCCCTCCCCCCTTGTCTCCCATCTCAAGAGTCTGAGGAAAGGACCTGCTAAACCCATGACTCAATGACTGATGATGCTCTGAAGTATTACATCCTTTTGGGGTGTCTGCATTAAGCGCCCCTACACTGCCAGAATGGCTCTCTGCATCCAGACCGCAGCGTGCTGGGGGTGGTGGTGATACAAACGGTAGAACAGAAGCTGAGAGCAGTCATCCCAGGAGACGACTCACCCGGGAGGCAGGAGCTCTTGTTTAAGCGCAGCCCTACCTGCCATTCGCCAGGAATTCAGTGGCCCTGCCAACTCTTAACTTGGAGTCCACCTGACGGTGCTCCCACACAAGGACTCCCTTCCTGGGACAAGACCCGGCTTGAGGTTAGAATCAGAAGGCTTTTCCTCCCATTGGCAGCGCAGGGCTGGGAAGAGTCCGTCCTGCAAGCCTCCTTGCTCCCGGGAGTGGGCGGGTCCTGGACAGGACCCAGCCCTGTGCACTCGGGTTCACGGCGCTGCGCCGACCTCAGCGGACTTAGCCTTCATCAGACAGGCTCGCAAAGAGAAGAACCATGATTCACGTCGCACGTGAAAGACAACAAAGCACTCTCTACGTACAGAGTGTCATATAAATGCCACTTCAGGTGGTGCAGATACACCACAAACCAACCTTTGATTTCTTCCATCTGATCTGAAAATACTGAGAGTGGTATTTGGGACCATCTCTCGAACCTGACCAGGCGGATTCCCAGGGCTTCAAGATCTACAGCCTGAGCTAACCAAGAAAGAGGATTTAAAATTATGTATGTATCCAGGGCAAATGAAAAAGGTGGTGGAGAGTCCCCAAACTCCAGACAGTTTCAGAAGATTTCAGAGCTAGGATTTTAATCTTACGTGGAGTAAACATCTGCCCAGTATTCAGTGGGAAAAGGAGGCAAAGCCAACTTGCTCAAGGCCTGTTACATTCAGTGGAAATACCAGCACACATGCAGCTCAACCACAGAGCCCTTAGATGCCCCGCAGGCCTCCCAGTCACACAGACCACACCCTTGCAGCAGCCTCCACCGGGCAGGAGAGCCGCCTGCAGCCTGGCCCGTGCTCCCTGACCTTCCACGGCGCGGTCCTCTGGCGGGTGAAGCCCGGTCAGGCCCTCCCTCTGTGTCTGGGGACCCGGGGTGACCTGCCTCGCCTCTGCCATTTATCCTGCCCCTCCCCCCTCCCTTGCTTCTTGAGCCTTGTTCCTCAGCCACTCCCCGGACGGAGCCACCTCCTGGGTCCCCCCCTTCGGCACACTCACGCCTGGTCACACCTGGGTAGCAACCCCGGTGGGCAGGGCAGCCCCACCGAGGAGGCCTTCGAGAAGTATTTTTGAACAAAAGGCTGTCCCACAGTGAGGCTCTGCTGGTGCTGAGTAACCAAGACAACCAGCTATGAAGTAAAAACAGACAGTTGTGGGACTTACGGGGCTGAGCAAAGCATCTAGGATCATTTCTCCTTTAACCACCGTCTGATCTTGCACGAAGAAACCAGAATCCTTACACATGTTCTTACTGCTCAGGGAGGTGCAAACCACTGGAGAGCTGGCTGTGTACACCTGTTTTTCTCAAAGTCCCCCAATTCCACCCCCACTACCCCCCCCCCAAAGTCACCCACCCATCTCTTCCCAGATTTATGGATGCAAGTCCCATAAGCATGGGCCGGTGGACCACGCGGATAATGATGTTCCTTCCTCCGGGAACATCAGAGGCACTGGCCGAGCTGTACTTCTCACTCAGGTCCCAGGGCGGTATCCGAGGGCACGGCCTCACCGCGCGTTGACCAAGAGCATCACTTTAGAACCTAAGAGCCGAGGGCTCTGCTCACACTTACGTGCTCTTCCGAAGCGTAGAGGACTTCCATTAGTCGCTGCACGAGGTCATCGTTCTCCTGCCCGTGCTCCTGGCAGAGTAGCTCAATCTCTCTCAACTTCCCGAAGTAGAAATCCCTTTCCTTTTCCACGCCTTCAAGGGCAAGTTTTAATGAATGTACCTGTAGGGGAGCAAAGGTGCGAGAGAAAACCTCAAAAATACAGCATAAGAAGTAAGTGACCAACCGTGCCTGTGCAGAAAGACCTGAAATGGAAAGACAGAAACGTGAAAAGAACCGATGTGCAAGTCTGGGGAGAAACACAGGCTGCTGCTGCTGCTGGCGCTGGGGAGAAACACAGGCTGCTGCTGCTGCTGCTGGCGCTGGAGCCTGGGCCAGATGTCCACCGTCAGCAGCACCCAAGTCCCCCCCCAGCAGCTGAGTGTTTGTAACAGAGGCTCAGGGGTCGTTCCACCCAGGCTCCGAGTCCGCTCACGTGGGCCGGGGCACATCTTCTCCTAACTTGTTCGTCCCCTGCAGGGCGGGGAGATGAGAAGGGGGAGCGGGGTGGGGAGAGGCTGGCACCGTGGTTCCCTTAGCTGCGCTGTGAGGACCCTCCTTTCTTCATGTCACTTGCATGAAGCTGCCCTCAGGTCTGGACCCCTTTGTAGATGTCCCTGAGCCAAACCAGACAAATGCTTCTACTCAGAGACTGGGTCGTGGCTGCACAGGGAAAACTGGGCAAGACTAAAAGCCAGCTGAGTGGATCCACATTAACGCCTCTGGTTCTGGCTTCGAGTACATCACAGGAAAGGTGGGGAGATGTGGGAGCTCCAGCCCCTCACCACACAGCCCTCACTCCCTTTCTTCTCCCTTGATGCTGGTTCAGGGCCCTCCCGGGGCGGTGCAGCATCTCATGGTGGTTACACAGCTGGTGCTTGTGAAGGGACGGGAGGGACGGGTGAGGCTGAGTCGGACAGAGCCATCACCTGGGCCGAAAGAACACCGAAAGGCGTGTGGACAGATCTGGTCTCAGATCCCAGACTGCCACGCTCCCACTGGCACGGCAGCAGCACACAGGCCCAAACCATCCCCTCTTCCTGCTGTCCGAGAACACCTTGAGTTTTTTTTTTTTTAACCCTTTGAGCATTTATATTATGCAGAGAGTATCTTTTGGAGGTAAATTAAGTCTTTCATGACCTCCTGAGGTGAAATCTCTTTCAGTATACTAAAAATCACCCTTAACAGAATTTTTAGAAATTACATTTGGAATAGAAAATTTCCTTCTCTCTCTTTCCAGTAACTTGGGGCCTTTCCACATGTTATTTGTCTGGCATTACTGGTTCATTCAAACATGTACTGAGCACACACAGTGTCCATCTCCTTGTGCACCTAGCAAACGTGTATCCATCTGGTGAGACTCAAGGATAAGGCTCTTCCTCAGAGTTAACCTCAGTGATGCCCTCACATAACTGCTTACAAAGCAAAGGAGGATCAGTTGCTAACTTTTAACTATTACTTCTGATAATACATACTATGGCCTCGATATTTGTAAAAACTGAAGGCGAATAGTAGCTTGAAATCCAGAGAAAAGAAAACTCCCTTTATTCTAGAGCCCCCTCCCTAGACTTGACCACAGAACCCATCTCAAGCCTGCACTGGTGACAGCAGATGAGTCCATGGCAGTTCAAGTGTCTGGTGTCTGCCGGCTCCCCCGTATCAGGCAAGAAGGGTCTCTAGGTGCTCTGACCCACGGAAGCCAGGTGTGTCTGCCTCTGCAGTGCTGTGGTCCTTACGCTGAACGAAGAGCTGAGGGTCTGTAGAAATACCCAGCCCCAGTCAGTTTGGGCTGCTGTCCTAGACGTGTCAGGTAATAGACACGCAGCTATAACATTCCCCAGTAAAAACCAACAGGAGCTAAATCATATGATGAAAGATCATTTGGCAAATGGGATTCCTTTCTCACAGTCCCACTCCGATGCCTCCGGGTCTTTCACAGGTCACAGTAAGAGCCTAAGCGCAGGAGGGGAGACGGAGGGCGGACCCTTGAGAAAAGTCAAGGGCAAGTTGTCTTCTCCCAATTCCCCACTGCTCAGCTGTCCACACACTGCAGCCTTCCAGTCTGATCCACAGACTGTCCGCGGGGGCTAACCACGGCCCAGTCTCCACCTCCCAACCCCGTGGCCCCTGATCGCAGCAGTGACCACCCCGCCTGCTTGCTGACCCACTCCCCAGAAACTGTTCCTAACTGTTTCAGTCATGTCTTTTCCTCCCCTGTGTCTTTTGATTAATTTCTGTCATTGAAACTGTCTAGCACAGTGGTGCTTTCATAGCACGTCAGGGGAGCCTGCCCGAGGAAAGGCATGAGGCCAAGTGAATGAGAATTCTTCACGTTTACGGCGCTTGTCACTTTCTCTATTACGGCTGTAATTCACTCTCGGGGACCCGGGCATTTTCACTCAGCCCACCCTTGTCCTCGTGTCCTCAGTTCCGATACAGTGGTGCCCGTGTGGCTACCCACCAGCTTCAGAGGGGCGCCTGCAGGCTTCAGGGACAGAAGGGAGGAAGCACTAACGTCACCTTCCCTCTGGGACACAGGGAGGTGCAGGCCCCCTCCCCCATGTGAATGTGTCAGGGGCGGCCGGGAGAGTGAGGCTGTTGAAATAATGAAGGAATTACAACCAGAAGGAGGAAGACCATT